TATTTGATATTTATATAGTCGATTTAATCATTAAAAAAATAAAACATTGTTTTTTGAGTTTCACCACCAAAATGTAATATATAATTAATACTTTTTGGTAAATCTTCATGTTAATATTTTTAATCAATTTGCAATAGTTGATATTATGAGTTCAATTAGTAAGTTTTGTTATTATTTTGTTTGTTTTAATATGTGTCAAACATTTAAAAATCGACATGTTTACTAAAAATAGGCAAATTGATATATTTTATTTGATGAATAAAAAATTAAAAAGATAAAATTAATAGTTATACCTAAAATGAAATATGAGTCATATACACTAAAAAACAAAGAGGATTCACAGACGGAAAAATCTGTCAGTAATCCAGCAGAAGAAGTCATCATCGGCGGATTATCGGTGGATCTCATTGTTTGAGAGAAAGTGTGGCCGATGAGTATGATTATCACGGATTTTCATTCACCAACGGAAAAATCTATTGGTAATTAGTCGGTGATGGTCAATCGCCCGATGTTTCGAAAAGCTGTTGACAATTACCCCTATTTCTTCACCCATGCGATTCACCTAGCATTTTGTTGATCTCCACTTCGTAATTGAATCTTGTCCAAGATCTCTCCTTTGCTCCGACTTGCTTTCACCATACATCATCATTGTTCTCTGCTTGTATCCAAAACCACCACTCCGCTCTCCTCACGACTTTCAATTTAGAGTAAACTACGATTTTCGTCCCTGTGCTTTGAGATATATTGTGATTTGCATACCTGTAGTTTTGAAATTGTGATTTTTGTCCTTATGATTTGTAATTTATTGCTATTTTTTTATTAATCTGGATATTCAACCCGTTATGCGAGCCGACTAATCCCAGGGTGACCAACTGTTTTTTGCAGATAGCCCGGAGTCACCGCATTTGAACCTCCGTGGCCACAAGGGGATTTGTATTCCTCCTTGAATTTGAACCTGAGGCCTCCTGGTACTTTTTGATCTTTGGAGCCAAACTCAAACCAATCGTCTTTGAGACTAAATATCTTAAAACTCCTCTATTAAGTTAGGAGTATTTTAGTCTTTTTGATTTATTTTTCTTTTTTGGTTTATTAAATATTTTTTTTGATGTTATGCTGTTTTTGTTTTTTTATTTAATAAAACTATATTTTTTAATAAAAAGTTAACAAATAAAAAATAATATCATTTTTTTTTATATTCTTTATGATAAAATAACTAAAATATTTTTTAATACAACTAGTTTTTTTTTGTCTTATAGTTTTAGTTTTTTATGAGTTCGATTTATGCCATTAATATTGCTCAAGTGCAAGCTGTTAAGTACCATCAATAAGAATATAATTAATTCTTTTTTCTTAGTTAGAGACCAAAGGATTATATTTTTTATAGGACCAAATAATTAAGGAAAAAGTCTAAAAAAACTCAATGGACTTTAGTGTTTGGAATGATTAAGTACTTAGACAATTTTTTGGAACAAATAAGTCCTTATATTCCAAAACCTCTTAAACAATTCATTGGACTTTCTAAAACCTGTTATATATATGCATCCTTATAACCTATAAAACTAATTAACGTAGTAAAATAATGGAAAAACATGAAAAAAAAGCTATTGAACATTCATATTTTGAGCAATAAAGTCCCTAAATATTTTTTGAACAAAAAATGTACTTACATTATATAAAATTAAGCAAATATACCAAAAAAAAACTACTTACATTTAAAAAAGATTATTGATGAAATTTATTTTAATTAAAAATAAAAGATATTATGTCAGTGATTTTTTCAAATTAAAAAAATAAATAAAGATTTTAAAAAAATTATTGATTAAATTTATTTTAATTAAAAATAAAAATATATATTTTATTTTTAATTAAAATAAATTTCACCAGTAATCTTTTTAAATCTCTTTTTTAATTTAAAAAAACCACATACATGATATATTTTATTTTTAATTAAAACGAATTTAATTAGTAATTCTTTTTATCTTTTTCATTTGAAAAATCACTGATAGAATATATTTTAATTTTAATTAAAATAAATTTTATCAAAAATCTTTTTTAAATGTAATTATTTTTTGTAAATGTAAGTACTTTTTTTATATTTGTTTAATGTTATAGATCTAAATACTTTTTGGTTCAAAAAATATTTAGGGATTTAATCGTTCAAAATATGAATGTTCATTGAGGGTTTTTTTGGACTTTTTCCATTATTTTACTACGTTAACCAGTTGTATAGGTCATAAGAATGTATCTAACAGGTTTTAAAAAGTCCAAGGAGTTATTTAACACGTTTTGGAATGTGTAAAGACTTATTTGTTCCAAAAAATTGTTCAATGACTTAATCATTCCAAACACTAAAGTCCATTTGAGTTTTTTTAGACTTTTCCCAATAATTAACTATTTTAGACTATTCTTGCCAATCAAATGTATGTAATTTATTAATAGGACGTACAATTATTTTGTCTTATAAGTCAGTCAATTATACCAAACAAATATATTTCTTATATAAATGTGTTATAATAACCATATAAAATTATACGTTCTATTAATAAAAGTGCATACATTTACGTGGTAAAAATAACCTAATATAGTTAATTGTTCGGTCTTATGAAAAACTTAATCATTTAGTCCCTAATGAAGAAAAAAGAATTAAAATACTATCATATGAGGGGTACTCAACAACTTGCACTTAAATTACGTTAGTGATGTAAATCGAAACTTGTTATGAAACAATGAATTAATTGTATGAAAAATATTTAATTATTATATCATAAATAACAACAAAATATTATAATTTTCTTATGTATTAGTTCTTCTATCAAAAATATATGTAGTTTGATTAAATCAAAGAGACTAAAAACCAAAAATAACCAATAAAAGATATTTAATAAACTAAAAATATATATCAAAAAGAATAAAATACCCCTAAATTAAATAAATGATATGTAATAGATTTAATCTCAAGGAAATAACGGCAATAAATTACAAACGGTGGAAATGAAAACAATAACAAATTACAAACCACACATGGATGAATATCCAAATTCCACAAGTATCGGGACGAAAATCATAATCTTTCACAAACCATAAGGACAAAAATCATAGTTTACTCTTTTAAATTATATGACCCATATTTTATTTTAGGTATATTTATTGATTTTATCTTCCTATTTATAATATGAAAAATACAAATCTATCTATTTTTAGTGAACATATTGATTTTTAAATAATTGACTATATTGATTAGA